AAAAAAATATTGCTATTGAATATAAGCAGCATTGTTAAATGTAATGGCAAAAATAGATACTAGCCTAATTGATAATACAAATATGAGAATTAGAATAGGCTTGGTTTTATTTAAATGTCAAATCTACCCTATGACTCAATGACAGTCATAGCTGAGTAGTTGATGGCAATCTATTGCCACGTTACGCGCAAGATCCGGCTTCTAATCCCGTAGAGGATATTGATGAGACCGAGACGAGGGCGAAACTGCAGCCCAGTTCAAGTGGGATGAGAAAGTCTTTAAGGAGGTAAGGCTAAGTAAATATCAATTAAATTGTGAAATATACTTGTATCATCAAGGGATCAGAGGTAACTATGGTTATTTAATATAGCTAAGTTTCGGAAAAAATTCATACTAAGGATAAATACTAGAAATCACAAAAGACAATTGACCAGAGATATATAAAAAGTCATTTAAAAAGAAAAAAACAGAATAACGTATTAATTACACAAATGAATGCCTACATGCTGAAAAAGAATTGAACTAAAAGTTTAATAGACGTTGTTTGACCTTGTTTTCGCAACTTGGTCATTTGGTAGGAAGACCTAATGGAACGCACCTAGAGGGAGTCGATAGTATGCATGATCCTTTCAAGAGTCGGAACGCGTAATAATACATTAACAGACGTTTCGCCGGCATCGTCGTCCAACATCAATTTATTAAGGGATTCTTGTAAGACCAGGTTTTCTGTGGTATAAGTAACTCGTTTTTTGTCTATAAATAGGTTTTAGAGACTTTCACGAGATAAGGCGAATACGTCTCATATACATGATGTACTGGTAGTCTCGAAGACCCATTTATAAAAAGCGAAAAATAAGTAGTGTAGACAATGGCTATAAAAAACTACCGCAATTTTTAATCGACAATACCACCACAAAACGTGATATGGCAAAATTCCTGACCTTGAAATTCACATCGGCCCTGTGACGCAAGGAAACTCGAGGCCGTCTGGTGTAGCGAGCAACGTTCCGATAATACACGCTGCACTACTCAAACCCGGGTTCGAGTCTCACTGGGGTGCTGATGAGGCAAGTTGAGGTGAGGTCACAACTGCAGTCGACCACATCCAGGATGGGAAAACCGTTTGTGAAGAAAGATTGCGTCAAATTCAATGGAAACACAAGGTATACTCATCAGACTTAGCTACCAGTCCTTCATCACCTTAACGAAATAAGGTCAATACATATCGTATATATAATTGACATATAAATGCTTCTTTGCTCGACCCTAATCAGTGCAGCATCCGGAAATCTTAATAGCATAATTCGATCGTAGCTGTAACGACAATACGAAATGAGAGTGAGAGATGGGGATACAGCTCTACCAGATGAGACATGTCCCATGATAGAGGCAGGGAGAGGCCACAAGCGTTAGCAACAAAAAATGGATCAAGAAGAGAGTTGTCTTTACGTGTCCCTTGATGCTAAGGCTGATGTTACTCCCTTGCGCTGCTGACAGTGAGGCCAACGAAAGAAGTGGGAAAGTACCCAATCAACGATTTATTGCCGGAAGAGTAGATGGCAACAAAAACAGAAGACGCAATAGGAAATGAGTCCTGCGAAATCTCCCTCAAATGCAAGACTATTTGGCAAAAATGTCATCAAACCAAAGACTCTATAGAAACATGAACTGGTAGATAAGCATAATGAATTATAGCAAAAAAAACGTACTGTATAAGCGCTTGTCTGGACACCGCCAAACTGGCATCTGACCGCAGACTGGCTAGCATTGCATCGCTGTCCATCAACGCAACCTCCTCACCAGCCTTCGCCAACCCTTCATCTTCCACACCATCACACTTGAGCAGGAATTCGCGATGATAGTCCTTTAGCAAAACAGGCATCTCAGACTTTTTAAGCTTCCTCTCGTCGGCTTTAGTCGCTTTCTTCTGAGACTTGTCCGAAGGCTCCGCAAAGTCAGCATTAGGGGACAGGGTGGGTGCCGAGTCGCGAAACCAGCGTCGGTTTGGATCATTTAGAGCTGGATCATTGCGACAGAGGGCATCAAGAAGTATTAAAAAGTCCTCGTGTTCCCGCTCAGCCATATCATCATCTGAGGAGCTGGAGGACGAAGAAGAAGAAGAAGAAGCAGTAGACAGGGAACAGCTTTGAGGACCTGTAGAGTCGACATGTTTGCACTCGTCAGAAGGATGGGACGAATGTGAATCTTTGGAGAAAAGTTTGACATCGCCATAGCGCGCTTTCAACTTGTCAATCTCTTCACGGCGCCTATAGGACATGTAGGCCTGAGAAAAACCCTCATTTATTTGGAACTCTTCAGGCATCTTTGAGGTGTAGAGTCTGGCGGTGTCGGTTTAAATCTTGAAGTCGAGCTGGTCCGAGTGGGCGCAAATGCTGACAAGAAAAAAATTGCAGAGAACTATCAGAGGTCTTTAATTGTCTTAAAAATGCGTAAAATAGAAAATAAAAATAAAAAACGGAAAGTGATTCGAGATGATAGTGCTTATGCGAAATTATACTAAATCAACTCCACCGGATCACCTGCCCTCGAGCCTTTGATACAACCAACGGCAGGTTAGTCGGCTTGATTCGGCAGTTCCTCCAAAGTATATCCGGTTCAAAAGAGAGGCTTCAACCGAGAAGTTAGTCGCCATAGGTCGCTTAAGATGGTGAGGGACTGATGGCGAATGTCCGCAAGACAATGTGTGCAGTGAGCGCCACTGATGGATCGGAAAGATGTTCACAAAGAAGATAAGTAACGCAGTTGATTGCAAGGGCAAATACACATTTTCGCCTCAACCACAATTCCGAAATAAAGTTGATGTAAAAAAGGCCTGCTTTAAGGGCTGGTCGTGGAGTTTTTCCACGCAATCAAATGAGTAAGCCTTCAATTTCATCCTTAACATATCTCATCCAGACTAGAGTACAGTAACGACCTCAACAAGGTCTCATCAGCCCCCCAGCAGCGTAATGCGATCCCAGATCGTGGGTATCATGACGAAGTTACGGTTCTACTCCACTCCATTGGATTCCACCCAATGCTACTCCACTTTACACCAATCTTCATCTCTCCACTTGACTCCACTCTCATCCAGACCAATCCACACCACTTCTCTCCACTCCCCTCCACTGCATTCCACTCACATCTACAAATCACCACTTCTCTCCATTCCAGTACACATCAGCCCTCTCCTCTTCACTCCACTCACATATGCTCTACATCACTTTTCCCCATTCCCCTCCTCTGGACTGCAGTTTCGACTCCTTCCGAGCTGGTCTCATTAGTCGCCTCAGCGGGAATCAAAACTGCGGTTCGTGTGGAATACAATTTCCACATACTTCCACCAGGCTACACTACCACAGAGTCACTGAGTCCAGCCTGGCTAAGAATACCGATTGGGAAGTAAGGCCAAGTGAAATCCAATGGCATCATGAGGCCTATTCATATGCTTGAGAAAAGCTTCATCACCTTATTATGCATAGAGTGACTATAACTCTTATTCAAGACCTACTGTTAGTCTCGGAGCCTACCTACTATAAACATAGCGAGTAATCTTCCTAATCTTCCGCTCAGCCATTGGGTTTTTGGCCACTCTATTTGATGATCTGTACTGGTCATTTCTTCAATCACCTCCGATTTCTAAATCCATAGACCTTTGCAGGCGATTTTGTGTTTTGATTAGCCCCTTGTTCATGTGTTGGCAAGTCTGCCCCGCATGGATACTATAGCGTGGCCACAAA